ATCCATCCAGGTCTCTTCCTAAAGAGCTGGTATTACATGCCTATGCGGACACTGCTAATGATACACATTAGTTGCGTAGAAAGCTTGGTTAAGTCTTCAATAAAATGAATGACATGCCCATGCATACATATTGCTGTATTTATGCTTGCTTATAGTTAAGGCACCTAGCCTGAATGTAATTTAATTTTAGGGGAAGTCATTCATATCATGCAGTTTCTATTTCAAATAATTAAATGGGAAGTCGGTACTTAAAATGGGAATATATTCTGGCTGAAAGCCCGAACAAGAAAACATGCTGAAAAAACATGCATTGCTTATTCAAACCTAGATGGCATGTAGCTCTTATTTATCTTTGGTATTCCTAGCTACGTTTCCTAGACCTGATTAAAAGGAAGCAGACTATCCCAATGCTTCTCAGTTTATAAACCGGTCATTATTTTTTATCTTTTCTTATTTAACCCAGTATTGTTGCATACTTTTTACATGCAATGTGGTTCCTATTGACTATTTGTCCAGGTGCTCTAAGAAGAAATACAATTAATTATTTTTAACAGCTCAGTTTTAATTCTGGATGTAATTTTTGTGGGGACAGTATTGGAAGAAAAAATGCTTGGGATGCAGGGTTTTTTCCAAGAAGTGAATTACAACTACAACTCCTTAGATATATTGTAGCATGCTGGGGTACAGGGCCTACAGAACAAGATTACAATGCCTAGAGATGCTGGAAGAGGTCCTCCAGGACCACAGATCATGCTGTGTTTATGAGAAGTGTGCCACAGCTACTGGGCACCCAAGATTTTGGGGTGGCTATTCTATATAGAGTTAGGTGGGTGGGTAGCCTGGGGGCATAGGCTGCCCAGTGAGGGGTGAGCACAGTTGTGTGGAGACTTTGCATCTAACATGGGATGGACCCATTTGGATCAACTGCATGCAGCAGCAGAGACGTCCAGGGAGACCAATTTCACCTCTGAAGCGTTTAGGTGCCATGTTTTTTAAGTCATTGTTTAGTTTTCTTATTAAATGTGTTCTGTGGCTAATGAGAAATTATTTTAAAAAGTTTCTTTTTCATGTAAATTGAGTTGAAAACAAACTAAAATCCCCCAAACCATCACGGAGCAGAACCCCTACACGTTGGCCAATTCTGCTTGAGGGGCTGGGATCCTGTGTCTCTCTGTGAGGCTTAGGATTCACTTTGGATCCTAAATCTTGGTTCATATCAGTAGTACTCAGGCTGCAAAAGTCAGTTTTGAACTTGGGATGTTGAGTCCTATGGCTCCTCTAAAACTGTTATCCTACAACTGATCTGAGTCTCAGAAGTAGAGAAAATGTCCTTTCTTAATTATTCTATCATAGCAGTTTTAGGATTTAATGAGCATTAACTGAGCAGTTTGTAGTGAAAAACTGTCTTCTTTAACTCTGAGCAGAAGATGGACAATGACATTTTCCCCATCTGTTTGTATCATTTAGGAGTCTTGGTCTGCACATAAAGAGTACAATTCAGGGTGCTGAAAGGCTTTAGAAAATGAAAATCCCAGGTTAAGATTTTCTAGTGCCCTCATACAGATGTGAACACTTGAGAAATATATAGAAACTGAGAAATACTGAGATAGTAGAATTGCTGAAAAATGGACTTTTGAAGATCTGTAGTTTATGTGGAAAGACTGAAAAATTGAGGCTGTTACAGACTAACAGCAGTTTTGATCATGCCTCTAGAATATCATAGCCTTACTCAACTCTTGCCCCTTTAATTTCTCAGCCAGGCTCATCTTGACAATACGAGGCAGGGGCTGTAATCTAAACAAAAATTTCCCTCTGCCCCTCTTGGTATTGCCCCTTGTGCTCTCCAGGGATGGCAGAGCTGAAATGGACACAGTTTAAACTGGTGTCCCGTACTGAAACACTTGCCTTCGATTCATGCCCAACATGGCTCACAGCATGCCCCCCACAATTTATTTTATACTCATAATATGTATATGACTGTTAACTAGTAAAGTAAGCAAGTCAATTGGTCCTTTTGGTGAGGTCCTTGGCCCATCTGGGGCATCTGGGAAGATGAAGAGTTTACCTGTGATTATGCTCTAGAGAAGTTTCCTCAACCTTCTATTAATCCAAGGATCCACAAGTGTTTCTTATCCCAAGGATGATTCTGCACAGTATTGCTACAAGAGTTCTCATGTATAGCTACATAAAAATTAGCCAACACATTTAATGTTAATTAATTACTTTTATTTTTCTCCATTTACCTTGCTTCTTTGCCTTCGAGGGAGTAAATGTGTGGCAGTGGGGAATTTAACAGCCATCACCTCTCAGTCACAACAGGGTGTTCTATGGTTTGGTGTGTTTGCAAAGCTGGATGCCAAGGGACAGTCAGCCCAAACAGCTGTCTCCCTCACATCCATTCCCCATTATGCTCGCATTTCCCCTGGCAGAAAGGAGTGGCATTTCTGTGGAAGAACTTGTCTTAAAATGGAGATCCATCTAAATTCCTGTGTCCCTTTTCAGCCTATTTCTAGTGCACCATGAATCCTCCAGGGCTAACCAAACCCCTGCCAAGATAAGCCAGTTAGCCTTGCACTCTGCTGGGATGGGGGATTTCCAAATGCTGAGCATCAGCCTTGTTTTGATCTTGTAAAAGCCCCTCAGCAAAGCTCATAACTTCAGGACTGTTACAAATACCACCTCTAGGGCAGATTTCTGAAGCTAACTTTTTCTCAACAGCCAAATACTGAGCGTTAGGACAGTAATAGCTTATCGGTAGGCACACTTGGTGAGGAATCCTTTCTTTCCAAATGAAGAAAGATCCTTCTGAAAGCAAGTAAAATTAGGTAGTACTGTATAATTCACATGTACACTTTTTTTTTCCTACTGGCACTTACGCTGTTTAACATTCTGATTTGCTCTGTACTTTGCAGAAGCCGAATCTACAGAGCTAAGTTAATCGCCTACAACACTTGGTGCAAAATATGAGAACATATGCAACATTTGCCTGAAGATAACTCCCATTCTATGGCCCCTTTTTAATTGTATGCTCTGGCTTGCATTGGGTGTAATAATAAAAAGTCATATAAATGCTTCTTCATTATTATTTTTTTTAAATTAAATACAAATGTACCCTCACTGGACACTTTCCAAAACTGTCATTTTAAGATATGTAGCAGTTTAAGAAACCTGACGTTATACTGCAGATGCAGGGTAGGCAGAAATCCCAGAGTCTCATAGGCATTGCCTAGGACTCTCAGAGTAGCCTGAGGTAGGTAGTGGTGTGCTCTCCTGCCAGTGCTGGAGGAGGGCTGGACCAGCTTAAGTACTTACAGCTGAGCATAACTCTTGCAGAAAGGCAAGGGTGTCTGTGCCTTTTCCATGGAGGCACCTTCAGAAAATCTCAGCCTGGTGTCTACTGCCCAAAGATTCCTTTAAAAATCCCAACCAGAGTTAGGAAACTGAAAAACTAATGAAGGAAATTCCACCTAAACATTTTCTCTCCCCAGGTAGGAAAATGAATTTATGATCAACATATGATTCTTCCATAGTTTTCAGGGCAAATTCAGCAGCAAACAATGGATCTTATATTTTTATACCACCTCCTTTTAAATGATTCTTCTAAGATCAGAAAACTTTCACTGCACTTTTCACCACAATACACAGAGAAGGCCATTTAAATCTATAATGTGTTAAACTGTAACAGCATAAAATTTTTCAAATCCATAGTTACCAGAAGCATTTAGAAAATAACTCACACTAATACAGCTTTTAAAACAGGCCATAAAATACACACTTGAATGCTGGAAGGTTTGGCCTCCAGTCAGCACCCTTGGGATTTACATGGGTAGCTTCCATGATGGGCAATATGAATTATATATGGACATTTTTTCATCCACCAGTATAAGAGAAAACCTATGCATCTCTTCAGGCTCCAAAATGTCCAGCACATGCTAACAGCTTTTGACCTATAAACTAATGGAAATTAAATTAAGCTAGCCTATAGCCTCTGAAATCTTTCTGTGCTGGCAAGTAATCAATCAAAAAAATAGTTCCTATAATACTGATCTTAGATCATAGTACATTCTGATGCCAGCGACAATTAATTATGAATAGTACACATGCATTAGAATGTAAGATCTAAGCAATTTTCTTACATGTTACCTTTGACTTTGCTAAAGCTAATGAGAGAAAATAAATATTCAGTGTACTTTGTGTTTCTTCCCAGACAAGTAACAATAATTAACCCATCCCTCCATGGGAAAGCTTATGTGACTGCAGTGCTGATTCTACCAGCAGTCTGACACAGAGTCCTCTGTGTGTGCGTGTGTACGTGTGTGTGTGTGTGTGTGTGTGTCTGGTACATCGCTTTGGCCAATTAATCTGGCTCTGAAATACTTGATCTCTTGCACCTGTTATCCACAAATAAATATGTCAGACCTCACTGTTTATCCAATCTCTCCTCTTTTTCTTTCTGTACTCTTTAACTTGAAATTTGGGCAATGAGCAGGAAGAACACTTTAATCCTGTTTGGCATGTGCTTATTAGAAACGATGTAAGCACGTCAACTACCTTTAACTTGTAGGTCCAAATACAAATATCATATGCAAGTAGAGGACTAGCTACCTGTCCCTTTGTTGGGGGACTACTGCCCTGTATAGAGATTCAGAAGCTTTTTGTGGCAAATAAAACATGAGACTTTTAAAATGTCATTTTTGCGCTTTTACTGCTTGATGTCAGTGGGAAGACCATATCACATCATTCAATGTTAATTTCACAGCGTTCCTAAGTCTTGCATTTCCCCTTAACCTCAATGCCAAACAGTCCAGGAGAGTATTGCAATTGCTTTTTGTTATAATTTTCATGCAACAGGCGGAGACAATCAAAATATTAGGCCTTAGGCAACAAGTCTAGTTACAGATTAAAAAAAAAAAAAATCGGAGGAAAGATGCAGCGACAAGAAAGCAGCACCGACTGAGCATGCTTCTACTGCAGCACAGACAGAAAGGTAGTGGACGTACTGTAGAAGCTGGCCATTACGTAGTTTTGGCAGCGATCACCAGTAAATTCATTTGGGCACCTGAGAGGAAAAACAAACAAAAAAAATGGTAGAGAAAAAACAGAGAAAAGAGAAGAGGTGAATATATGCTAAGAAAGAAGCTCCTTCAGTGTGAACTGATATGACTTGGTGAGTTCACTTTCAGAAACTGAATCTCGGTTTAGCCTGTCAAAATGGCTTCAGGTGTTGAGAGCAACTCATTTGCTCTGTGTAAATGAAAAGAAATGCCCCCCCTGAAAAACCAGCCAAAACCAAACCAATCCAGATCAAAGTGTGTTTCAAGATGTGAGAGAGAAATTCACCATTTCAAATTCCCAAATTGCTTTTAGGATGCACTTTCCACAAGGCAGCGAGGACACAAGATCTGTACATCACTCATCTTCATGAGTTTGCTCTTTTAGGGTTGCACTTTACAGCAGTCTCCCAAACAAGAAAGCTGCCAGTGTGTGCAATGCAAATGCATCTGCGAATGGATGGAAAGATAAAAAATCACACAAATGAGAAACATTTTGGAGGTCAATAATGCCATGGTGTACAGATTTTACTTTAGAGAATCAGGTCATAAATTAGTGTGTAAAGAGGCCGGTTCCAGCTGAACTGTGAAAACACCAAGTGCTATTGATTTTGTTGCTGTAGTTGGGGAAGAAAGCAAAGTTCAGATTATTTTAACATACTTTCTTGGTTTTGGATTTTCATGGGCAGAGTTTCAGTACATCTTGCTCCAGTGAATCCAGGTTGGCACCTAAAGGGCAAAAACGTGATAAGCAATAGTACACCAAAACCACTGCACTAACAGACTGACATCTGCTGGCCTATGGAGATGGGAGTGCATTAAGCGACCTCCTGGTTAGGTGTTAGTGAAAAATGATCAGAAAAGGGGCAAGAAAGTGTAACCTTTCCAGAAGATAACACTTTGAAAAATTTACAGCAAAAATTCAACAGAGAAAAAAAATCTAAAGTCTTTTTGTTTGTCTGTTTTGAAAAAGAAAGAAGAATCAGGGCTAGCAAAAATGTGTATCAGCTCATTGCTTATTTCACCTCATTAGAGGACCTGGTTGAGTTTTTTTAAAGTTTGCAATGCAGTGTATAACAGCAATTTACACTGTTGCTTTCACCAGTCACATAAAATCTATGAAAATACCATTATTTCCCTATTTCTGTAATGGCATTTTGTGTCTTCCAGTAATTTCCTTTGAAGGGGAATGGTTAGAACAGCAAACACAGAAAAGCCAAAAAAATTCCAAAAAGTGAGAAGACAAACTCAAACCCAAAGGCAGAAAGTATTTAACATATTTAACATGGCTGACAAATAGAAAAATAGTCAGTCCAGTCAATAAGCACGATGAGAGGGCAGAGTTGTTCTCAAAATTTGAAGCCCCATAGCTCTCTGTACTTTCCCTTCATAACCTCTTCTGCGAAAATCTTCAGTGCAGCTTGCCCCTTGGTCATAGGGAAGGAATTTCTCTTCTGTGCTTTGCCTGTCTTCTCTTCTGCTGCTGCCCGTCAATTCTTCCTTCAACTTTAGACTCCATTTTGGGGCAGAGCTCAGGCATTTGCTCACAAAATATCACCATAGCAATGCAGGCTCCTGTGCTTCAGCCGTAAGTGTGAATGACCGTCCAACACACTAAATGTCTACAGATTTCAGTCTTCTTTCCTTCTCCCTCTTCTATCCACTTTTACTCAGTATGTAACCTGGAATTACCCAGTATTTGCTTCCTTGAATACTTTTCACTTGTGTTGCCTGTCTTTCTGATGCTCTCCATGCATTTGCCATGGGGCAAGAATCTCCCCCTCTTCCTCTCCTTCTGCCAATCTGGTGCTAGCCTCCTTTTCAAACTGCTTCATCATTTACTTGCCAGGGACTGAACAGTCTTCTTATTTGCAAATGCAAGTTGTTCAGAACCTCTTCTATCCATCTGAGTTTCACATGCACTGAAAACTGTCCTGATTTTTTAAATTCCACCCTTCCACAACTGTCTCTATCCCTAAGGGTCAGGAATGCTGCTATTGTACAAGTGGAACTTACAGAAAAGCACTTTGGCAGATGACCAGTGTCAGGCATAAACACTAGTATCTTGTTCAAACAAACCATGCAAGAATGGTTTTTGTACAATAAAGGTACATTTGGAGGATCTGTAGATGACTGGAGCTGACTTGCTGTGTTGATGTATTTGTTTATTAAGTAAGGCATTTTATGTTCTTCAGAGCCAAAGTCGCATCTTTTGGTAAGTAAGTGTGGAGGGATCCCAGTCTCCACAGATATAGTCAGTTGAGAAAAATGCAAGAAAAATAACTCTGTCATGAAAAAGTGATATTGCTGGGCATGATAGAAGACTTTTTGCATCTGTGATAGAAAGCAAAATACCTTTGATAGAAAGCATTTTGATCTGTGTTACTGAACGGGAGTAAAAATATTTTACCCCCATGATTTCAGTTTTATTTTGTACTACAGTGATCTTGTTCAATACCCATCCCCAGAAAACTGGCATTCACTCCTGCATTGGCTTTCATTTCACAGGGACCTCTACATCTTGTTCATCAGGCTCAACCCTACACAATTCCAATGAACATGCTGTTGATTTAAAGACTCAGGCTTTGCTCCTGTCACTGTCCAGTGGTGGTTGTTTGCTCCACCTGTGCTTGTTTTCAGATGTTGGTGCAGCTGTAGAGGTGATGAAAACAACTCAAGCACTGGTGCAGACAATGCTGAAATTGCTTCCAGACCAAGCAAGGTCAGCCTTGTTGAGATGGTGCTGAAAACAGTCCAGGTGTGTTTATACTCGCTATGAAACCACTGTCAGCAAACAGGTCCAGGGTGAGCTAGCGGAGATGAGAGCCGAGATGAGCCTGGCCGTTTGTGATTATGTGTGAATGCTAGAGGCATTTTATTGCTCAGATATGCAGTGAAGCACCATTTCCAGTGCTGTTTGGCAGGTCATTTACTGCAGACTGTTTTTACAAACAGTTTGTGATAATGTCTTTTTCAAAACACACTTTGTCCTACTCAAAGCTTCCAGACGTTATTTCTTGTTGACTCTTTCTTTTCTAGTTCATTACCCATGTACCATTTTCTTTTATGACACTAGCAAAAGCTGGAGTCAAGCAACTCCTGGCAACAGAGACTTACACAAATAGACATTTGTGCTGCTAAAGCCTTATAATTTCCTTTCTGCATGAAAAAAAAGGCTACTTGGACTATTTATTTATTGTATTAACTAACTGGGTGAAACCACAATACTAAACCACATATACTAAAAGAATATCTTTTTTCCTTTACACATGGTAGTTGCAAATAGCAGTATTTGCCTGCATTCAGAAAACACTTCTCAGAACATCAAACACATATCATCAAACAGTGGTTTTTGGCAGTAATGGACAAATGGATCAGGACCTCTCATTTCTATTTCATCCACTGCCTATAAGCAAATGCATTGTGGGAGAATGTTTTTTTCTTCCACAGAAAGTTTTCTTCCATATTTAGTTGTCCCTTTCATAGTCTAAGTCAGAACTAGCATTTCTATCCTGCCTTTTGAATAAATATCTCTGCAACTTTTGGTATCATCGTGGAAACGAATTTTCTCTTTTTGCTGTTTTCAATAACCTTCTGTCAATTTCTATGCCACCAAGGCCTTTACACGAAGATAGATATTGAAACTGGCTGTATCATTAAAAAGTACATAATGCAGCCTTCTGCTGTTAAGAAGCAGCAACCTTCTGCTAGAGAGAAGCATTATTTTAATCCAGTGAAATTCAGATACAAATTAATTTCTTCAGTAACAGCAAAAGCACTAGAAAAGATGATCTCTTTGTATGAAGAATCAATTAGTCAGACCAGCAAGGCCTTCATGGTAGGATACTTCAAAAGAATACTCTAAAAGCCTAACAGATACTACATTTGTATATGCTAGGAATTCTGGTCTTAATTTTGTATTTATTGAAGAAGTTATCTGATTTTTGTCTTCAGTGAACTTGGAGACACATTTCCAACTGAAATGAAATTACTTAGGAATCTCAGTCTCATAGGAAGCCAGTAATGTCCAGGCTTCCAAAGTCTATGATACTTTCAAAATGTGACTCATAGTCCTGTGAAATTTTTGAAAATTTTATACACTGGCTATTTAAGTAGCCTCTAAGCTTCCTTTTTAATCTTTCATATTTTGAGATTGTTTTGTTCAGTCTGGGGCCATAATTAAAATACATGTAGAGAACATACACAGATAGAGCTGTACAATGCATACTTCACACATTTTTTGAGTATTTCACATGGTTACCTCTTGAAAGCAGGGAATTTTCTCAAAGTTCACATCAGTATCTGTGACAGCCTGATCTGATCCATTCTGCATCGTTACACTATGTATTTTACAAAACCTTTTTTTTTTTTAAAAAAAAAAGAAACATAGATTTTAACAGAAGATTGATTTAGGAGCTCCTTTTTTAATAGAATAGGGGCTTTACAAAACCAGAGATATCACTTGGAAAATTCCATGGTTGTTGTGAATCTGAGTCATGTTTTTTGGTTAGGGATAAAACCAATTTAGAATGATAAGGCTCATGCGTTAGAAATTTTGTTTTTGCTCTCAACAGATGGACCATATGGAAAAATGTGAACTTGCTACTGAGGCAGAAATATGAAGAGCAAGTACCATATTTCAAGCATTCTGTTTCCACAGGCATGTTCTCAGGGAAGATTTATGTTCTCAGAACAATAAATGCAATGTGTACTGGTTAGATACTTATTTTAATTAACACTGGAATACTAGGATTAAAAGTAGACATTTGTATTTTTAATGAAATAAGAAGAGAACCGTATTTTGTCTCTTTATTTTCCCAGTACACTCACTTTCAAGTAGTCACACTTTTATTTCTTAGGTGGTTGTACTGCATCCTGTTTTGCTACACAACATAAAGTTTCAGTACCGGCAAGTATAAGTGTTAGAGGGCATAGCAAAAGGCCCTGCAAAATAGCAGTGGCCCTGACTGTCCTCAGGATAAGAATCCTTTTCCACTGCCTTACTGGAAATGAGATTCACCTTCTCTGATTTTACAGCTCTGATGCTTTTTCCAAATAGGTCTCAGCCACCCAGAGAGAGGCACATCTGCCAAATTTGGGAATTGCCTTTTCTTTTAACTCCAGCCCCAGAATGAAAGGTTATTTATTTCTTGTCTACAAGAGGTAAAAAAGTTCCCACTTCATTCAAGTGTCTCCAAGACATTTATTTAAAAAATTAGCCAATCTATAACACGAAAGAACACAGTCATAACTCTGAATTTAAAAAAAGAAAAAGTCCCTATACCAGTGAAAATGTGATACCTCTGAAACTGTCAAGACAATGGTAATTACTAACAAGTCTGCTAGCTGCTCAGTTCTGCTGCCCTGGAATTTTCTGAGCAGTGGTTGGATAGGAAGTTGAAACAGGCAGGTAGGCTCTCGTACATGCTCTGGAGAATCAAAACAAACTGCTCATCTTGTACTCCTGGCTTACAACAATCATACAAATTTAACACAAATCTTTCTCTCTCTCTTGCTCAAAAAAGAGTCCAACCCATGACAGCCAGTAACTTTTCCATATTCACTTTAGCTAAAAACGATTCTAAAATCAATGAAATACTCATCACTTTCAGCAACAGAGCAATCTGTGAAAAACAAAAGGAAAACAAAGCTCATAAAGCGCAGGTAATATCCTTCTACAAAAAAAGAAAACTCACAAGTAAAGCAGAATACTGAGGTTTGGTGTTTGTGGGTTTTTTTTGGGGTGGGTTTTTTGTTTTGTTTTGTTTTGTTTTTAAATTAATGACAAACAGTCTATGCCTTCCTGGCCTAATGAAAGAGACCTTCACTTAACTCACCCACCAGAAATCTATGCAGCTACAGCAGGTGACAGTCTTTAGTGAACACTGTCTCTTGTCTGTCTGGAAAACAGCAATATCCTCACAAAAGTACCACCTTTCCACTCAGTCCTGGTAGGTCCCAAGGATGTCTCCGAAAGTTTAAATGCTGAGCTCCCTCTCAAGCCAGAGGGATGCAGTAACTTACTATGACCAGTTTAGCTCCAGAGGTAAATGCTACATGATGCGCCCCCAGGCAGGAGGTGAACTCCAGTGCTATAGCTCTTCATGGCCATGATGTCCTCCAGCATAAAGGACTATTGCAACAGCCTCATACAGCACAGGTCAGAACTTGAGAAAGGTGCATGAGCATACCCTTAAAACTAAACTCATACTTACACAACTTCCTGAATCAAGATCCTCACACGAAATAGTAACCTCCACCAATTACCATGACATTGATTGTTTTTAATGCAATTAAACACAATGGCAAAAACTTCAGTTGTGAATCCAGCCTCATCAGAAAGTATTCAGTTACTAAAGCAGACAGTAAAAATAACCACTTTGTCCTGTATAAACAGTTATTATCTAATGCAGTTTTCCACACACCTTTTTTTTGCTATTTGCAGTGTATTTAGTTTACAGCATCTGCTTCATTATTTATAACATAAAGCTCAAGCTGTATTACTTCATGCCATGTAAACATCAATGGGGCTTGCTATGCCATTATCACATGGGAAGATTTCCCAGTTAGCTTCTGTTATGCCCCATATATAGAACACATAGGTCATTCTTGGTAAGTTTGCTTTCACATCCACTTAAAAATGAGGACGTATACAATGCCTCAAGTACAGGAGTACAAATGATTCAGGTGCTCCTTTAAAGAAAAAGCATTTCTGGCACCTGGTAGCTCTACCAAAGTAAGCAAATAGGATTTCTTACCTGCACAGGTATCTTGGGGGGTTTGGGAGGTCTTTAACCATGTAACACTCTCCCCCATTTACACAAAAGGCTTTCTGCTTTATATCACATTTTGTGAGATGACTTGTCCCAGTCGTAGATGTGGAAGTGGCTGGAAAAGACAAGGGTGAAAATACAGATCAGAATGGCTTACGTTGTGAGGGATACTTGTATGTGAGGGACGAAGTAAGGCTGGGGAGGATCTGGCAAGTCCTCTGAGCTCTCTATCTACTACTACCATAAGCACAAATTACTTGACCCTGTATTTTGTTGACAGACACAGGGACTGGAGTTGAAACGCATGCCTCAGAGATATGCTACCCCACACTCAGGCTGGGAGGAAGGGACAATTCCACCAGCCCTGTCTGTCAAGTGACCTTAAATTTCTGCAACAGTTGTATATTTCATTAATAACATGCAGTTACTTAAATTGCATTAATTCCATTCAAGTGATTGTGGGGTGTGAGAATCATTACAGACTGCTGATATAGTGCCCAATAAAATGAGACCCTGGATGAGGTTTTTTCCTGGCACTGCCTTGAATTTCAGTGGAGCTTAACCTAAGGCCTCGGGCTGATTCAACCGCTCGGGACTGAACCTCTCAGTCCAGCCACTGCCTTTTTTCCAGAGGAGATGGTGAGTGGCTGAACACTGAATGGCTCCTCCTCTGCTCATAAGCGAGAGCTGTGGCTGCTCTGGTTTGACTCAGTAGGGAGGGTGAGGACAGGAGACCTGGAGGCATTGTCCTTTCCTGATTGTCACCTTTGCGTGCACAGGAGTCTTTGATCTGGAGGCCAGCCTAGCACCTCCTGCAGATGAGCTCATCTGCAAGAAGTATTAAGAGTTTTGGGCCACCAATGCTGCTAGACACCATTAGGTGTCTAAATTGCTATTAAATGGAAGTACCACTGTGCCTGTAGTGTTTATTAGCTTACTCCCTGCTGTGGTTTGGGAATACCTGGAGAAGGCAGAAGCAGGGTTTTGTCAGCAACCTTTAGGGAGGTTGCCAGGGTAGGATGAGAAATCCCAGCCTTAGGATTTGCCCATGCAGTATCTGTTAAGGAAATGATAGTACCCTGACCAAAGGGAACAGTACTGTAGGAAAGACAGTGCTCAAAATGTCCCCACTGTAGTCACTGCTGGTAACTACTGGTGGATCTACCTGAAGTTGCCCTAAACTAACTAACAGCAACAAGGATGATGGGGAGACCATACGTCCTCAGCTTCTCATGTTCCTCTGTACCTGCGAAACCACCTCTATGAGCTTAGTTAAACCTAAGTGAGGCATGTATCTGACAGGCTGCAGCTGCAGACCCAAACTACAATCTTTGGTTGCCTGATAGTTTGGGTAAATTTTGCTCTAAATTCTGTCAAAACAGAGTAGGCATGCTTGAACCCTGGACACCAGTCAGTATGCACCTCAGGAACCATGCCTCTGATGAGCTGCTTGACCTTTGGCAAGTCATTCAGGTTTTTCATTTAACTTGATTTTATCTGCCTAAAACTGAATCTTTCAGTTGTAAGGCATTCTCTACCAGTCACAGAAAGCAGTTCAACTTATCTCCACAATGGGCCAGATAAACAGCCCCTCTGATTGTGTCTGTCTCCTGCAGAGCAAGCTTAAGCTTTTAAGAATATGCCCCTAATTTTTAAATTAATAAAATTAACTGAGGTGACTATCTGTCATCTGTAAAAAGCAGGGAAGATTCCTGCATGGTTTTTGTTTAGGTATCTCCAGACATACATACATTTTGTTACAGTAGTGAACAAATCCCAGTATTTTTGTTTCTGAAAGATAGCTTCTACCCTGAGGTTGAACAATGCTTTTATCTACTGACTGATTCCACTGGAGTTGACTAGAAAGCTGCAAGCACCTACACAAAGGTTGTCTGATATTCAAAGCCTTTTCTAACATGAAGGTACCCAAGGGGCATGTTTATAGTAGGTGACGCGTGACGTTCTACCATTTGCTGCACACAATGAATCCAAAGAAAACATGCTTTTAGCAGATCAGCTATCAACAAAGACCACTTATACATTTTGAGTTGTTCTTTCTGAGAATAAGGATGAAGTGGTCCCTGTCACATTTTATTTTCATGTGTTTCCCATCATATTCCAAGTAAAACTGCAATTTTAGCACTGAACACTTAGGAGAATGGGCCAGTCTGAAAATGGTGCCAGCCAAGGTGGCCCATTAATCACCAGCATGCCACGTTCTTTCTCTTTCTTCCATGATGCCTTTCTTGCATGGGGTGCCCTCCTCTAACGGGCGAGGAAAAGCCCTCCTGTTACCTCTTTCAAAACGCAGGCTCCCTCCTGCTTCTCACTGTTGCACCCACCCATTGTGTCACATCTCCCCAGATTCTTATCTTGACTGGGTCCTCTAAGTGCTAATGAAATGCAAACATGGAGTACTAATTCCTCGTAATAACACATTCCTTTCTCCTGACCCCTCAAAGCATGATTTATAACCTCTCAGACCAGGATAAATTTATGCCCTGTCTAGAGGCAGGAAAAGAGGTCATGTTTTAAGAGTAGTCTGAC